CCGAGTGAGGGACGGCGGCGGCACGAGTTTGTGCGAGTTTATTGGGTTCAGTACAAAACAGCTATGGCTAAAATTCGCTAGCTGAGGAGGAGCTGCTACTGGTGAAGTCTCTTTCTGGGCTGTAAAACAACAGTTCAAGTTATGAGGGAGGATGAAGTAGTGCCGAGAGGGCAGGAGTGCGGCAACGCTCCAGACGGGGAAGGGAGAATGCTGCAAAAGAACAGGATGCCCAAACCAGCTACATTTGATTAAAAATAAGCGTTTCAATGTAGGTAGACTTTTACATGAGAATTTGTCAAGAATTATTCCAATATTAAGCCAGCTTATTCATACACTCCAACTTAGTTACTTAATCCAGAGAACCAGGGAAGATGGAGGTCTATTCCTCCCTAGCATTCCCACTGCTACGCCAGGTGCTCTCCTCTTCATGTGCCAGAGGCTCCTCCTCTTCACTGGCACCTCAACAACCCCAGCCTGTGTACCTGTCTCCGTGCCAGACTGACATGATTCAGCTATCACTGCCACACAACACCTGTGTTAACTCCGGGCAACTTCAAGCTTGCTCTGCTTAAGCGCATCAAACACTGGCTCCCATTGCCTTATGGTAAAGCTCTGGCTTCAGATCCAGGTGTCATCTCCTCCTGACTGCATGACTCATTTATTATCATACTTAAGGCCATAACGTCTTTCTACTTTGCAAAGATTCTCTCCTCTGATGTAGTTTAGATGCTGAGAAAATAAATTCAAATAACTGAAAATACAATGAGAACACATTTCAAATTCCAAATCTACAGCTGAGGTTCTTTAACCAGAAACATCCAACAGCACAATGCCCCCTTGTCTTCCTTTGTTCCTTCTTCGCTTCGAAGGCACTTCTGGATTGCGTAGTACATGCTCTTTGGCTGCACAGACAGTCAGAACACATAAGGCTTGCATGCTAGTCATTCCTCTTCCTTCATATTACTGGTTTCACTCTCTTGTTTCTTATCCGCACCCTGATCTGCAGGCTTTGCAGCACTGTCTTCATACTGACACAATCTGCTTCGGCTTCGGGCTCCTGGCTGGTACAGCTGCATTGCTGGACGATCCTGAAATAAATCAAAACTATTTAGACTCTTTCATAGCCCCAAGCCATCGTAGTTATGATGGCATCAGTGATACTAGAAATGGCTCAAATCAAACTTTTCAAGGTGTTCTAAGTTAAAGTATTCCACCATGTTGGCAAGGTAACTTCAATTGTCTCAAATCAAGGTTGTCTCTGTTGTAAGGCAACACCCTGGTTCAAGCCACAAACAACACTGCACACAGCTAAGTTAACTGTAAAGAGCTTTCTCCTGAGATGGGTTCAGCTTGCCCTCTCTCAGAACAGAGGCCAACTTCAAGCTTCTTCAAACCCCTGAGTTTGATTTGTATCCAAGAATGCCTTAACTGACATGGAAAACTTGCATACTGATGCTGCAACAACAGATTTGCTGTGTATATAAAACTAGACCCGGGACATTCTTTCTTGAGTCTACAGGAGATCTTCTGTCATATTCTGCATGCAGCAGTCTTGTCCCCATTTGGGAGAACCCATTCAATCACACTTTTACTTTGAGATGTATTTTCAGGCATGTATAGCACAGCAGAGACACAGGCAGATTACTGATGCTCTACTGACACTTTAAAGACACAGCCTAAGGCGTAAGTCAGCAAATGAAAAGGAATTAGTGTCTTTACAATTTAGCCCATGGTATCCTAACTGAATTCCTATACAGTGACAAAGGGTTTAGCAAAGTTTAGCAGACAAACAGGCAAACTTTCTACCAATGCCGAAGTTTGTCACCAGAACAGGGAGAACTTTCAACAGAGAAACCACACGGTTCTCTCCTTGAAGTACTTTTACCCTAAAGCCCACAAACTGGTCCATATGAATCAACACATGAATTTAAAGAAATCCAGCACCTTGTTTCTGATACGATCCCTCTTAATTGTATCGTCTTTCTTATCGTCTTTGGTTACTTTCTCAGATTTGTCCGTGCTGCTGGTAAAGTCTGTAAGATCACTTTTCTTTCCCTTTTCTCTGAGTAAGTCTCTCTCCTTTTTCACCTCTTCCTCTTTTCTTCTAAAAACCTTCTCTTTCTCAAAGCGCTCTTTCTGCCTTCGACGCTCCTCTTCTTGGCGCCTCATTTTCTCCCTCTGTGCTCTCTCATATTCTCTGTCTCTTTCATAATCTCTATCTCGGTCCCTGTAGTCCTTTACACACTCATCTTCTGATCTGTATGAAAACAAAACTGAAAATTAAGCTCAAAAGATTCATCAGAGCTGGGAGATCAATGTAACACTGGTGTAAGTTTGCAATATGAAGACGACACACTGGTAGGTTCTAGGGAGCTTTTGGGAAGCTGCATTAACCCGAGTCATGCATGAGAACCAGAGATGACACTGACTGCTGGCACTTCCTAGCCTCCTATTCACACAGCTGGCCAAGTCTCCTCTGGCTCTGGAAAACACCTGGATTTCTCCACCTTATCTCTATTTCTCACATGGCAGAACTGAACCTTGAACAGATCACAGAGCTGCTAAGAATTACACCTTCCACTTTGACATTTTACAAGACTTAAGGGGACTAATAACTGCAGTACACCTCTCCTCTTGCCACAGCTCTAATTCTCCAATCGCAAAGACAGTGCTCACAGCCTGCTGCAGGTCACCCACACCTGGGCTTCTTTTGCAGAGTTCCTACAGTGAGTTGCAAAAACATTAAAATTTGTCCACTAGCAAAGAATAGTCAAATACTTCACACAGCTTTCTGTAACGACGGGGATATGCACTGCCACAGAGAACATATCCCATGCCTTCTATCAGAAAACTAATTGGAAAGGAATTACAAGACATAGTGATGGCAAAGCAGCCTAAGCCTCAGTACGATCAGGAAACAAGTTATACATATATATTTATAGCAAGTACTAGAATACTTTTTTGCCTTCTCTTCTTTTGTCTCCCCATCAGATCGTTTGGCAGATGCACTACTCGCATTTTTTTCCTCCCTCAGAGTCTCTTTTTCCAGTTTCTTGGATTTTTCTTTTCTCTCCAAGTCTTTTTCATCTTTTTCAGGCTTCTTAAGCAGCTACAAAGAAAACAGAAGTCTCAACTAAAAAGCTCACTCTAATACATATTGTCTGGCACAACACCAAAATTGCAAAGGAACCACAGTCCAGTAAGAAACAAACATTAAAACTACCGCAAATCGTAGTATTTCTAAAAGCTGGAGTGTATGAGTAAGCGTAATCCACAGAGCAGACTAGTATTTTTCTTCTAAAACAGGCCATTTTGGAAAGCTTAAAAATAGTCTCCATTCCATAGTGAATTCACAATTTTGTTTACCATAGCATGTACAACAGTCACATGACAAAAGCTTTCAATATTCCTATGAAGCATTACAGCATGTAAACCTTTACAATGCCTAATACTGAGTATTACAAAAAAAGTGGTAATTTACTAACACCAAACCCATGTGATTCTTCACACAATACTCAAAGCACATTCTGAGAGACTGCTATACAAATAATAGGGGAAAGGGAGTGTAACAGTTTATAATAAAGAACTGTTCTAGACCTTAATCTTTGGTTCTTCTTTTGATCTGTCTCTTTCTTTTTCTGGGCATCTGTCTACCTTCTTCAGTTTTTCTGCTTCTTTTCTCTTCCTTCTCTCCTCCTCTTTCCATTTTCTTCTTTCTTCTTCTCTTTGTCTTTTTCTTTCCAATTCTCTCCTCCTCCTCTCCTCTCTTTTTTCTTCTCTCAGCCTCTGTGTGTGTAAAAGCAAAGAGAAACAGTGTCTTTCCAGACTAGAAAAGATCCTTTTAAGCCTAAAAAGATACCGTGTCAAAGTGACAAAATAACTCACCTCAACCCCACCCCTATTTTAACAGAAAAAAAGTCCTGTTGTCTCTATTATTCTGTTGGGAACCTGAACATGTTACAGCAGCATTTCATTCTTTCCCTCATTCATAACCCTTGATTTGTACAACCTTAAAAAGAACAACCAAACACAACAGGAGCCTCAGCCTTTACAGTTCTAATTTTAATTGAATCTGCCCTGTTAATTGTTAAAACAATATTATGTGCTGGGAGAAAGATGGTCTATAGACCTCAGTCATAAGAGCATTGAAAAGGAATCTAGTTTGACAGTACCATGAACAACATGTAGCTGTGACCAGAACACACACAAAGCACCACCATTCCTGCAAAGGCCAGCGTTCTGATAAAGTATGTGAACCAGATGTTAACAAGTTGGGTCAAAAGCTTTTCTTCCGAAGGGCAGAAACATATCAACATACACTCTGCAATATACACACCCATGCTTTAAATGAGCCAACTGTACTTGCAAGCAACATGAAGATTCTGGAGATAAGTCTTACCTGTTTATTTTTCAGGAAGTTCAATAAAGGAGTAGTCTTTTTAGCTAGAGAATATAGAAAACAAATGTAAACAATTTGCCTTAACCAATACTACAACAAAACCCTACATGAAATGAAGAAGCCTTATGGATTATCCAGCCTGTCTCCTCCCACGTACAGCAATACAGCAGTGAAACAAATCTTCCAATCCTACCCCTGAACAGTGGCAACTATTAGGATTCTATAATCTTCTTTAGGGATACCCAGTACACCCCTCTGTAAAGGGATATTCAGTCTGCATTAGGCTTTTCCCAGATCCTCTCACTGTGAAAGAGCATTCTGGTCATTTCTGTGATACTTCACCCAACCATAGCATCTCTTAACCTCTGCATGCATGGAACATCTCTGCATCTCACTGAAATGCAGCCACTCCACAGCTAGCAGATGTGACTAGCAGCTTAAAACAGGAATGGACATTACCATATAAAACTTAAACCTAGAAAAGAATTTAGACCATAGGAGCAAAACAAAACACACTGAGCAGTATTAGCCTAAAGGTTTAACAAATACCTAACAAGCACACAAAAGAATTCAGTCTCCTCGAGGGTGAAAAATCACAGCTTCAAATTACACCACATACTTTCCTTTGTGCTCTTAGGAAAATGCTGCTGTAGTACATAGATTTCCATACCTATGAGCTCTTTGTTTCTTGCCTCTATTTCCTCCAACAAAGTTTCTGGAGTGGAAGTTAATTTTTCATCATCTGCACTGTAACTTTCCAGAAACTTCTTGTACTCTGGATCTACAGGGGAGGGAAGAGGAAAAAAGAAACCATAGCATGAAAAGAATTTGCCTTGTGCACTGCTGGAAGTCTGGGTTAATCTGCACAAGTTGTGGTGTTTATGTCACCTATTCATAAGCTGGCAGCTCTCACATGAGCTGCTGCATTACATTTGTCTAGAACAATCGTATTTAATAGATTAACAGCTGCCCAAGCAGTGCTAATAAGCTATAATTAAGCAAATATTCTATCAATAAACTACAGCGTCACAGTAAAAACTTTTGCTCTGGTTTCAGCTGGGATAGAGTTAATTTTCTTCCTAGTAGCTGCTGCAGTGCTGTGTTTTGGCTTTAGTCTGAGAATAATGCAGGTAATACAGTTGTTGCTAGCACTGCTAACCCTGATCAGGGACTTTTCAGTCTCTCATGCTCTGCCGGTGAGGAGGGGCACAAGAAGCCAGGAGACAGGACAGCTGACCTGAACTAGCCGAAGGGGTATTCCATTCCATAGCACGTCATGCCCAGTATAGAAACGGGAGGAGTTGGCTGGGAGGCACCGATCACTGCTTGGGTTGAGCTGAGTACTGGTCAGTGGGCGATGAGTGATTGTATGGTGTATCACTCGTGTTTCTTTGGGGTTTTATTCCTTTCTTTCTGTTGTCTCCCTTTCCACTACAATTATAATTTACTTATTTCAATAATTAAACTGTTCTTATCTCAACCCATGGGTTTTAGCTTTTTCTGATTCTCCTCCCCATCCCGCTGGGGTGAGGGGCAGGGGGAGTGAGCATCTGCGTGGTGCTGAGTTGATGGCTGGGGTCAAACCACAACACATCATATTCAAATTACTGCTAGGAATTTCCAGTGCCCCCATGCAAAACAAACTAGCCAGCTGTTATACCATCTTCAATAGTTCCAGTTTTCGCATCCTTTTTCTTACTCTTCTTTTTTGCAGCTTTTTGGAAAGGTGCAAACTCAACTATGGCAGCATATTCCTGACCTGTTAAGAGGAGAGGGAAAAATACATTAGAGAAGAATGAGATACAGAGTATATTATCCATGTCTACAGCAGGAAGATAAGCCTCACAAGAAATATGCAACACTATAAGAGACTACTTGCACAGCATAAAAAAAATATCTAGCATTGTGAAAACCAATTAATAAAAAACATTTTAGAGACAGCAGAATTCACGAACTAAACACTCTCACAACGTCAACAAAACAGCAAATTAACAGACTCACAAGATGGAAATACTAGATTTAAGACTGCCCGTAACTGTCAGTTCGGTCACCTCAGCTATACCACACAATACTTGCATCCTACAGGCTCTGCAATCATTGTGCAAGTGCAAGATAATGTTTTAAGTTGATGTAACTGAGGCAAATCTCAATTTTTTGCAAAATACAACAGAATGCAATGCATTACGGGCAGGCTTTAAAGTTTTATCTTCTTTCTAGAATCCCACACGTATGGCTGCATAAATCAAACACTGCTGTTGAGCATGGCAAATACAGCATGCTGTTACACTGCCAAGCAGCCTATTTAAAAGAGGTGGGTGTTATTAGAACCCTGTCATGCAACCCTCCTAAATGAGAGAGGCTCTTGCGGACAGCGCTTTGGGTCACATAAAGCACCCAGCCGGATGAAATGTAAGTCACAAAATTCAAGGTGAAATCCTCAGCCTAATAAAGCTAACAGGAAGACTCTTGGTGAAGTTTTTGCTAAAGCTGTAACTTTAAGGTCTATCAATGAGAGACCTCTTAGTGCTACTTGACCCAAGTAGGTTTGAAATGCAAAATTTAAAGACATGAGATGTACCGAATACCTCACATGCATTCAGAAAAAAGGCAAGTGGTGACACAACTAAATACTTGGATGTTTAACCAATAAATTAAGGTATTTCCTACACATTTATGTCGCCAGAGAGCAGTCACTTTTACAACTTAAGGCTGTAAGAAACAAGCCACTCCATTTACTGAATCAAGATGATTCACTCAGCTGTAGATTGGATCAAGCAATAATACGGATTAAAAACTGACCAAAAAATAAGCTTTTAGAAGTGTACAGAAGGGGCAAAGGGAGCAGTGGAGCATGGCACCATTAACCTCAGCTTCATTCAGCTTGGACAGCAACACCACCTGCCCACTTTCACTTTTCAGACCTCACACTCAGGTATGACGACGCAAGTATTAACCTTAGTAATGCAACAACTGGGTTTATCTTGATATCTCGATGTACGCTTTACTGGGGCTTACACACAATACCAGAAGATCAATTTAGAAGTACAGAAGAACATTTCAGCTTAGCTTCCACAAAGCATAAGACTTTGCTCTTTGAAATACCGCAGAGCGTTCATTCAAGGCACTAACGCCAAACCAATCCCAAGCGGCACGCTGGGCTGCTTACACTCATCCCTCTACAATCCACTCGCACGCTGCACACACCAGGAGACGCGCACAGCCGAGCGCCGCTCACTTGCCTTTGTGGTCGACAAAAACATAGCCGTCAAAGCGATCCCTGAAGAGGACTATGTCTTCCTGGTTTTTGAAGTTGATGTAGGCTCTCGAGAACATGTGAGGGTACAAGCTGCACAAAGACAAGACCCGCACAGCCAGGCTCACTGGGCGGCCCGGCTGGCGGCAGCGGCGGCTC